TTTTTGTTTTTTTGTTTTTTACACCCAGAAGGATTAATACTGGTTCCTAAATTCTCTTCTCAATGACTCGAACTCGGGATATGGGATACGCCGAGCTAGGTATGCGCCATGCGCTAAACCCTCTTCGTCATATATATTGGTAGTTTGTTTCTTAATATATGAATTTTATGTACTAGCAATTAATAATTTGAAGTACTTCCCAAGGCCAAAGCGTGACAGTACAAATTTGACAATATAAGAAAAATATGTTGTTGTTGTTGTTGTAAGAAAAAATGTATCACAACAGTCGCATTTATATTCATGATTATTATGCACAGCAAAATTTCAAACATAATCTTACCTTTTTCTTGAATATATTACTTGTAAATAACAATATAAATAATTCATTTCACAATGTATATACTTTTTTAGTTACGATAATGTTTACTCATCTAACATTAGATTGACCGACAATGCTATCTGAGGTCGATGGGCACCATTGTTAGGCTGACCTAACAGTTACGTTAATATACTTATGAACAAGTACGACATATTTTCATGTTTAAATGTCATACTTTAAAAAATAATTCAATTAAAATACAAAATTCTCTATAGCATAATTATACACTTTTCTAGTTTTAGATACATTGTACTTTATCAATTTATCAAGTATATCTAGAGGCCAAATGGACATAAAGCTAAAGAGACCACAACACAAATAAAAGGGAGATGATACGGTCATGTTAGGAAACCATTCCGGAATAGTTGATCTAACGGTTACAAATCTCGATGGAATGATTCCCTAACGGGACCGTAACATCTCTCCGAATAAAATTCCATTACCAAACCCAATAATTGTCAAGGGTAATCATCATTCATTGCTAGTTTAATTCCACCACATATAATATAATATAAACTATATAAAAGTATATAAAACTTTAGGAACCCAATAAATCACATAAAATAACAAGTTCATTTTTAGATATTGATACGAAATAAGAGTAGTTGTAACAAATAAGATTTTAATATATATATTTTCATTTTATGATTGGCGTATGATTGTTAGCTTACTATAATCTTATATACTTAAATATTATTTTTAAAATATATAAATAAAAGTATGATATTTCATAAAATAAGTTTACATATAAATTTTTAAACTGAATATTAATGTCATTGTTGACCAACAAATACGCACGGGTGTTGGATGGATGACACGTGGACGACGAGGAGATAAAGGGAGGCACGCCGAGGATCGCAGGGAAAATGTAAACCGACCTGTGTAAACCGACCTTGATTGGGTACCGACCTCATCAATGAAGTCGCCTCGAAGACCGACTGACGTCGGAGCCGACAGGCAGCATTAAATGCCTGTCCATCAACTGTACCAGGTCCATGTGACGATATCATTGCAAAAAGGGGGCCCACGGACAGAAAAGCTGCGCAAACGTCATTCCGCATTAATTGCCGCCGAATCACCTCAAAAGACGGGCCCTCAGTTACTATAAATAGCTGCAATAAAGGCAATACGAGGATCTTTTTCCGACACATAAATTCAGCATTAATCACCTCGGTTCTGACCATTTTCCAAACATTGCTGTATCACTGTACTATAAAAAAACCGACCTCAAGTCCACAAAAAACCGACTTGATATTGTAATTAGAACTCTTCAGTAATCTAATAGAATCATCTCATTACCGCATCAATCCAGAAGTTTAATCATAAAAAGTTGATCAGATCCGTTTATCAACAGTCATCTTATCATCTCCAAACTCAATACATGTGTTTCTATATACAATTGAGGTTGAAAATATTACATTATTCAAATCATTACAGTACTATTTAATCATTAGTTCTAATTATCGTTGACAAATATTTTCATTTTTACTACACTTAAATCTCATCAATTACTCTAATAATTATATTTGAATCGTTTTGTTTTGTGTCTACACTTAAAATTTTGCATTATTCCATCAATTTTTCTAGTCTTTAACTCACTTTTTCATTCAAACATTTTTACATAATTTGTAACCAGTCGTACTCTTGAGTGTTTATAATATTATTATCCTTATAAATATCTGTGTTTGTTTGTTAAAAAGAATAAAGCAAGTATTTATATTAAGTAAATAATTAATATAATTTTTATATTTAAATTGACTATTATGCTTATTGAAATTTCATTCATATGCATTGATAGTTTAAAAATGTGAATGAATACGAAATAAAATCTAATAATTAAATATTACATTTTTTAAAAAAATTTAAACACCAATCTTTTGTTTTTTTTTTATTTTAACTTTAAATGTAATGGTGTTATGAGTTTTGTTAATTCTAGACTTAATTTGATAGTTTTATAACATTTAAATCCTGAATTAAGAAAAAAAAATCTTTCAGCCCCGCATTGATAGTTTACCCATCTTCCGGGTCTTTAATATAATAGTTTTATAACATTTAGGTCCCGAATTGAGAAAAAAAATATTTCAAGCCCCGCATTGATAGTTTACCTATATTTCGGGAATTGTATTGATAAAACTCCTACAATTTAGTTTATCAACAAATGTTATTACCAACTTTTATCTATTTATTTATTTAGTATTATAAACAGAAATAAAATATTTGACACACAAAAGGAACATAAATAAAGTATTTTCATGCCTCTGCCCAACTAATGCCTTTTCTTTTCCTTTTTTTCTTTTTTCCTCTGCACTCACACTTGAGACTTATATGTATAGAGAGAGAAAAACTGTATGTAAGTAGAGACGAGAGAGAGAGA